AGGCTGCAGGTTTGATTCCCGGTCAAGGCACATACCTAGGTTGCAGGTTTGGTCCAGGGTGAGGGTACATATTGGAAGTAACCAATCAATGTTTCTCATATTGATGTTTCTCTCTCTCCCTCCCTCTCCCTAAAAAAAATTTGTTTTAATCAATAAACATATCCTTGGGTGAGGATTAAAAAGAATTTTTTTAAGCTAGCATAAAAAGGCTCAGGTTTAATTGTTCCTCTGGGTCTTTATTTCCTTATAAAGGCTCCCATGCTACACAAAACTTATATTAAATAAATTTATATGCTTATCTCTTATTAATCTGTCTTTTGTTATAGGAGTCTCAGCCAAGAACATAAAAGGGTAGAGGAAAGATATTTTCCCTCCCCTATAGTAGTATTCCAACTTTTTCTCCATTTAATAGTCTCCAAAACAACTTAATAACACAAATATTTTAATGAGATATGCAGTTTACAAGACTGATTAAAAGATGAGATAGAATTATAGTTGAAAGAGATGACTTAGATCAAATTGTATATATCAGGGTTATTTCTAAGCATAATATTCTATACAGATACACAGCTGAAGTACTGTTTCTAAGAACCCAGCTAACCATGATAGAAACATACCTTTTTTTTTAATGTGAGGTCTATTTAAAATACAATTTTATCATTGTAAAATAAACTTTTGGTGATGCAGCTGGATATCTAAACCTCTATTAATTATATAAACACTTAAGAGTCTTATTTAAAGAAAGGATTCCATATAATATCCATTTTAGAAAGTTTAACAAAAAGAGCCAAGTACTGTGTCTGCATATATCAGCACTCAGTAAATGTCTGAGGAAAGAATGAATGACATAATCAGAAGAGTTAGCAGATAGAAACTGTCCCTGCTCCCACAGTCATTAAGATTTTTCCAAAGCATGTTTTCCTCTCAATTTCAAGACATAATCCCCACCAGGGAAAAACACGTTTTGAGTTTTCAAACCAAAATGGCCTAGTGCACACAATTTGTCCAGTGCTTTGATTGTAACAAAATTAACCTGGCACAATCAACCTCCACTCGGGCGAGAGCAGCACTGTGGGAGGTCATAAGTGTCTTGTGGGAGACATGCAACTGGTCGTGCAACTAGTCGGGTCAGACTCCCAGAAGACGCATGCACATGAGTGAGCACATGCTCACATCTCTCATCTCTCACTTCTCCCCCAAGCTCACAAGTTAAAAGACAGAGCCCATGTGTTCCTGAGAATGCAAAGTGGATTTAGGTATGTCTATATACGCTCCTCTGTATGGAATCTTGTTCATGATATTTTCTTGCAGAGGAACAAGCCACTCATACTTCTGGTAGGATGAAAAAAAATGCCACAAGGCTCAGGCTAAGGGGCTGAGAGTTCACCTGTTTGCTCCAAATATACACATGCTCCTTTTGTGAATAAATATGAAACAAAATATTTAAATAAATGAGTATATCCCCAGAACTTTATAAAACAAATCTAAGGTACAATTTACCAAGACCTGAATAAACTTGATGTATGTAAGGTTTGAGATGCTAGCAAAGTTATCCATTTTCCTTTTTTAAAAAAATGCATATGCCCTGACTGGGGATTGAACCTACAATCTTGGCGCATCGGGACAATGCTCCAACCAACGGAGCTACCTGGCCAGGACAAGTTATCTTTTTTATTTTTTAAATAGTAAAAGCACCACATTTTCTAAGGTCATAATCAAATCAGGGTTAAGGCAATCTGTTATAATCTAATCCAGGCCAAATATCTGTTTTTGCCTAAATTACCAATCTCTTTGATTATCACTGAAGATAAGGCTTTCAGTTTTCAGCCTGGCTTGGTTTATAAGTATTGGAGGAATAACACCAGGCCTAAACGAGCCACGTTTACACACAAACAAAAAAACCCATGAATCTCCTCTCGTAAGAAAGACTGTTCCCATGTAACACAAGTGAGCAGCACCAAAAAAAGTACCCCACCTACTAAGACATTTTAGTATAAACAGACATAATTAAGATAACTTAAGCTCTGAAACCATTTATTGAAATTATGACTATAACACAGAGGTTCTTGTGGGAAGGCCTCAAAAAATCAGTCACAGTTGCCAGCAGTCAGGGGCGGAGGATCTGTGGCTGAGGCATAACCTTACAAAGAACCCTTACTAGTACTGCCTTCCTCTTTTCTAACTCAAAAGAAAATTGGTGGCTCTCCCTGACTCTTTTTCAGCAAATAATTTTTTGCTAGTTTACTTCTTTTTAATTTAAGTCCAATGCCTGAGGCTGTAAGGGATGTGATCATCTCAGAGGAAGACAGGCATTAGGAAGCTTCCAACTGACAGCCTCAAACCTCTCACCTTTCCCGGTCCTCTGCTGGCAACAGCGCGGACTCTCCATTGTGAACTCCTGAGAACACTACTGACCCCTTGTGTCTGAGGCCCTTTCAGCATTACAGTCTCTCCACTTTGCTATCAGTGTGAGCAGGGAGAGGGATTTCAAAAAGGGAGCGAATTAGGATGACAAAAGGCCATATTCCAGGGGAATATCTAGAAGAGCCACATTTTTAACCTGTGTTTTTATGACTTAATGAAAATATTAAATGCTAGTTTAGAAACCCAGTTTCTAAATCTTTCCATTTCAGGCCAGACAGACTGGGAGCAATTACAGCTTGTTCAGGGGTCTGTGGGAATGCTGGCAGTTTTAATTTACATATTAATGCTGGAAAACATTTTCAGAGGCAAAGAAGAGCACTCTTTGGTCTTAATAATGAATAGAATAAGAAAAAAATAGACAGGAAAGTGGCTCAAAAGCTCTAGGCAAAATGGTCTGGGTTTATTTTTTTTCTGTAATAATTTCAAACTATCCATCATTCACTGTAATAAGATACCACGGCAATGGTGGCTTTGCAGTCTTTTCTTTTGCCTAAGATGACCATTCTTTGGCTGAGTGTCTTCAATAAAAGGCCTAACAATGAAAGTTAACAATCCATCTGTCCCAGCTCCAACTCCTTCCTGGGAACAACCCACTCTAGTTCTTGGTTTCTTCCTCTACCGCCCACCTAGAGTACTTATCTTACCACTCACAGAGTAAGGCAAAACACGGAAACATTTAAATTATTACATTTCATTAAACAGCCTAGTTGGACACTTGGTCATTGGAATTTACTTTTGCTTCAACTCCAGTTCTTTGAAAAATGCAAAAATTCTTTTCATTAAAATATTAGCTTGACCCAAGGATATAAAAGAGTTAGCTGCCTCAGCATTAGTTATTGCAGTCTGAGACCTCCCAAGAGGTCTAAAAAGCCAAGATTAAATATAGCAAAATATGAACAGGAAACATAGTTTGCAAGTTATTTAATAACAACTATAGCTGTACAGAATTTTCAAATTATTTATTTTTCAAATTATTTTTCTGAATTAAATACCAAATTTGTGAAACAAAATCTATCATATGGCCCTTGAAAGAACTATTAAGTGGTGGATTAACTCCAATGCAAAACTTCTTTCTGTACTAAGGAAGAGAGGGAACACAGTCATCCTATGTGGTAGGTAGGTCCTATTATCCCCACTGAACACAAAAGGGAAAAGAGGCTCAAAAAGATCAAAGGTCACATGGCCATGACTGGCAGTGTCTTTCGAGGCACTGCAAACTTGACCTCTTTTAAAGAGGGGTTGAGCTTCGACCTAGGATCCAGGCGATTGGGGCTCGATTCCCCATCAGGGCACATGCCCAGGGGTTGTGGGCTAGGCAGCCGATCGATGACTCTTTCATCATTGATGTTTCTCTCTCTCTCCCTCTCTCTCTCTCTGAAATCAATAGATATAGTTTAAAAAAAGATTAATTTTAAATGGAGTACTAGTCATTACTTACAAAATGAATACATTAATGTGGTTAATGAAAATATTTCACTGATGTTGGTCTTATAGAAAGTTTAAGAGAAACCAAAATTAAGGACTCCAGATTCATCTAGGCCCCTTTCAAATACAAAATAGTCCTAATTTTCCTCATCCTGCTACTGGAGGGGAAGGGGAAGGTGTGCTATGGCTTAAAACATAAACAGCAATTCCACTCCTAGGTACCTATCCAAAAGAACTGAAAACAGGTATTTAAACAAAGAGTTATACACAAGTGTTAATAGCAGTATTATGCACAAAAATCCCAAATGTCCATCAAGAGATAAATGGAAAAACACAGTATGGTATCCATGCAAGGGAACATTTTCACCCACTGAAAGGAATGAAGTACTGCCCGGCCGGGCGTGGCTCAGCGGGTGAGCGTCGACCTAGGATCCAGGCGATCAGGGTTCAATTCCCGGTCAGGGCACATGCCCGGTTGCGGGTTGGATCAGTGACTCTCTCATCATTGATGTTTCTATCTCTCTCTTTCCCTCTCCTTCCCTCTCTCTGAAATCAATAAAGATATATATATATATATATATATGTAAAAGAAAGGAATGAAGTACTGATATATGCTACAATAGGATTAACCTCAAAAATGTGCTAACCAAAAGAAGCCAGACACAAATGGTCACATACTGTATGATTCTAATTATATGAAATATCCAGCATAGGCAAATCCATTAAGACAGAAAGTAAATTAGCGGTGGCTATGGGGCTGGGAAGGGACAGGGAGTGTCTGCTTAAGAAGTATGGGATCTCGTTTAGAGGTGATGAAAATGCTTTGGAACTAGACAGTGGTGGTGATTGGCGAATGCATTGAATGCCACTGAATTATACACTTTAAAATGGTGAATTTTATGTTATGTGAATTCACTTCAGTTAAAACAAAAATACAGAATAATGAAATAATGATGATTGACCATAAAGCCCTAGATGAAGAACAGGTAATTTGCTTTTTCTTGGCTTGTCACAATTTCAGTGAGTTTTTAACCATCATAAACCAATATATAAAAAATTACCCATTAAAAGTTCCAAATAAGGCATTAATGTAGCTGAGTTCCCCTAATTTGTCCAGTTGACAGAGCACCTAGTTGAGTTTACAGTATATATGAAGCTTTAAAAATGTTTTTAATTTGTATAAAATGCAAAGGAAAAGAATATTGAGAAATACATGAAAGAGTAAGTAGCCAGAGCCTAGGAAAGAAGCAAACACATGCATATGGGGAAAGCTATATGCTTGAGCATAGAGAGATGTAAACACTCAGGAGAGAAACCTGCTTTTCCTCAGAACTTATTTTGTGTTTCTCCAAAAACTGACTAGTAAACAGCAATTTGCAGTCACCACCCAACGGGTTTCAGCAAAGAGGTCACACACAGGGAGGGCCTCTAGCTGCCACTTCCAATTGCTTCCCCGGTGAAACAACACAGGAGGTTAAGTTACTTCAGGAGACTCTCAACAGGGCTCCCATTGTTCCAAGCTCAAAACTCAGAGATACAATAGGCCCCATTCATCAGGAGAGCTTATAGGCTGGGGAATGGTCCCTTAGCGACAACTTTCTGTTGGGACATCGAATTTTTATAAACATGGACTTGCACAAGTACATGTTAATTATTTTTAAAGAACGGAACAAAATAAAAAAATAAAATTCAATAGACTCTAAACTGAGCCGGACATCCAGGTTTTATCCCCAACTCTCTGATGTGACTTTAAGAAGTCACTTTGTTTCTGAGCCTCAGCTTCCTTTTTTTTTTTGTAAAATGAAAATGGTTTCTAAGATCACTTAGGACTCTAAAATTCTGTGAACACTTATGAGGTCTATTAATGGTGCTGCTACACTATTCACACCAACAAGTGGGGATAAATTATGAGCAGGAAAGAACGACTAGTTCCCATCTTTTCATTTACTAACAGCACCTAAAAACAAAGAGCCTTAAAAAAAAACAGTCAGAGAAAACAGTCTACTCTCTCTCTTAAACAGACAAATCATAATGAATAGGTCTAGTGATCCCTCCATCCCACCAAGTCGAGGACCACTCAAGCAGATAGCCCTGCACAAAGCACAGTGGTGAAGGGCATAAACACAAGCCACAAGTATGTTTTTCTGTCACCTTTTCTTAGGTTATTAATGCACTTTGAGAATCTCTTGATTTCTTTGCAATGACTCAAAATCCCCAGAAGAAAAATGCCATTTACAACAAGAATGTGATCACTGTCCCAAGCTTCCACACCATGTCATTTTTTTGTTTTTTCAACCTCAAAACTTGCCAAAGCAAGAACTTTGTCTCCAGAGCCTAAGGAGAAAAACACATAAATGAAAAGGTCATTTCAAATGCATTTACAGTTCCAGGTAAAGAGGCAAAAACTTGTTACATACATATTAAAAGAGAAAATAAAATTAGCTCCTATTATTAGAGAATTACAATTTCCTCCCCCCTACAAACAACTCAGCTACATAGAGCCATTTATTGGTTACAATTTACTTTTATATTTATGTTTAGATGACAAATATTTTTAAAACATTAGGCTTTAATTTAATTTTTTAATTAGAAAGCATTGGGAAATAAACTCAATAAAGGGGATTTATAAAGAACACAATTCTGGTTTTACCTCTAAGCTTGAGAGAAGGCAATAAAGTTATCTCACCCATGCTATCTGTCTATCGGACAGTAATTCATGTCCAACTTTCAGAAATATGAAGGTACTCACCAAGATCTGTAGAGACTTTCTCAAACTGGCTGAGTATAGCACCTGCATTTGCTGACAAGAAGGCCTCATCGTCTGCAGTCAGCTAAACAAAAAATAAAACAAAACAAAACAAGTGGAGTGGGTTCAAATCTTAACAAGCAGTTCTAGGAACCATCATTAAGAATGTCTCAGGACCACAAACTAGATCACGGATCAAGAGGTTCTGTACCACATACTTTACATTTTTCTTAATGCCTAATACTATATTATATTAAATACAGGTACCTTCTCTCCAAGTTTCCTGAGAGCTGTTAGTATCTCCACTTTCTGTTGAGTGTACAGGTCTCTTTCCAACTTTCCTACCATGAGATCTCTATCCATCTACAATGGATGAACACAAAGCATATGGTATTTCAGTTAAAAACATTCTGTGCATAAAATCCAACTTTTCAGGTCTACTTCTTTAAAAAAAGATCCTTTAGCTGATTAATATTATAAGGAACTATAGAAACAATTCAAGACAAACATGACAGAAATGCTATTACACAGTTCTAATAAATCTTAATGCTAATAACCATTGTCTTAGCTATAAACTTTACTTAGTAGTAGACTGTAGGAATTAGGAATTACTAAGTCAGTAGCTTCCTTTAGAGAGGAGCCATCCTCTAAGACCTCATTTCATTAAACTGAAGTGTGGTTTATAGGCTTGAATGAGATAACTGGTATCAGGTCTCCTGGAACTTGGGTTAAATATTGCCTTTACTACCAGAAACACTGAGAGTATATACTATGCATTGGTACTATCCTATGTGCTTTATATATATTACATATTACACATACATATGTGCTCTACACGTATTACTTCACTTAATTCTCATAACAACCATAAGAGGTAGAAACTATCATTATCACCTTTTTATAGGTGGAGAAATTGAGGCACAAGGGTTTAAACAAAATAACTTCTCCAAGGCCATATACCTCCATATGGAGCAAGAATACAAATCCAGCCAGTCTGACCTAAGTCCATGCTCTTAACCACTATCCTACTGAATTACCAGTGCTTGCAAATAACTGTTAATGCCTTAATTACATCCAAGTCTATAAATAGACTTCTCTTCTTCAAGTATTAGGTTTATAAAGAGGTTTGAAATTCTTAGGTGAGAAAGGCCACACACGCATAAAGCAATGCCGCTAATGAATTCTAGATAGGATTCCAACTCAGGGCTTCAGAAGTAAATAGTAAAACCTTACAGGTGGAGTTCAAGTAGAAGCGGTTGGTCAGTAGCAATTTAAACTGCCATTTGCTGTTTAACCTTCTATATTCAGTATCAACAATAACTGATCAAAGGGCTAATTTTGACCAATTTTTAAAAAATAGAATATTTTTTAGAGCAATTTTAGGTTCACAGTAAATTGAGCAAAAGGTACTGAGATTTCCCATATACCCCTTGCCCCTACTCATGCACAGCCTCTCCATTATAAACTTCCCCCACCAGAGTGGTACATTTGATGCAACTGATGAACCTACACTGACACCGTTTATACTAGGGTTCACTCTTGGTATTGGTACATTCTCAACTGACCAATTCTTAAACTTCAGAATAACATAATGAGCAAATTCTTGGGCTAAGAAAAAAAACCCCACACAGCAATTGGATCAATTTAAACAAACTTTGCCCAGCCGGGCGTGGCTCAGCGGTTGAGCATCGACCTAGGATCCAGGAGATCGGGGTTCGATTCCCGGTCAGGGCACATGCCTGGGTTGCGGGCTAGGCAGCCGATTAATGATTCTCTCATCATTGATGTTTCTATCTCTCGCTCTCCCCCTCCTTTCCTCTCTCTGAAATCAATAAAGATATGTTTAAAAAAATAAATAAGTAAACAAACTTTACCTCTGCTAACCTTGTCCGAAGCTGACCTGGTTGTTTCTTTGCAAACAATCTGATGACCTCTGGGGTTTTAAAGGCCTGGCTGATAGCTGCTTGGATAGCCTAGAAATACAAATAGGTAAAAACTAACCAAAATACTCCAATGAATCGAACACTGCAATAATTGATTGATGGGTCTTCAATTATTAATAGGTCTTCTTTATCAAATACTGTTACAATTTTAGTTTCCATTTGCTATTTCTGTGCATGTCACTGGAGTCAAATACCTAACTAAGTAAAGATCTGGAAGCATAAGCTGTTTTATCCACAAGTAGACACTCATCTAGAAGTTAAACCCAAAAAAGGGTACATTTTCTATCTTAAGTATACTTACAAAAAAAAAAGAAAGAAAAAAGTAATCTGTATCGCCAATATACGTAAATCATGCTTACCAGCTGCATTCCACTTAGCTCATCTACCAAAGTCATATTTCCAGACATAATTTTCTTCAGGGAATCATTAAATTCACTTAGTTGCTCCAGAGTCTCCTTTTTGGTTTCCTCATATTCATCTGTATCAAGTTCCTCTCTGAAGTACCATGAGCATAACATAAAAACACAGGGTTCCAAGTGAAAACAGCAATGTTTGTACACTAAGACTTCACACACATGTATTTACAAAAAATATCTTGGGGAAAAAGGCTAAAAGGAAATATCAAAATACTAATGATGGATGTATTCAGATATTTAAAATGTGGGCATTTTTCTGCAATGTAGTTACTTTGATAATTAAACATCTTTCTTTTATTAAAATGAGGCACACTTAAACCATATAATAACTTCCTTTTAAGCAGTCTATAAATCAATGGTACAGCCTTGGGCAAGATGCTTAACACAGCCAAGCCCCAGTTTCCTTATCTATAAACTGAAGATATTGAGAGTACTCTCCTTATAGCGTTGCTAGGAACATTAATTGAAATACAGAAAGTGCTTGGTATGAAAAGGTACTAGATAAATAGCTGACATTATTACCATTAATGGTAGGTAAAATTTTGTGCACCTTGAAATACAACAGCAATGCAGTACTTGCCGCCTGAAGAAGAGACTACTTTTATTCACCAAACAAAGCATTTATTAAACATTTATTACAAATAACCATCAAGTAGCTACCATCAAGTACCTACCCTGGGCCAAGCCTTTTGTTGGCCCCTTCATTTGTAGTATTTAGCACGGTTGAACAGTCTTGGTCCTTTAAGTAGTTAAGTAATTAAGGCTAAAAACACACAAGAAGTTCAGGTAGTACCTTCTCAGCTTGATACCAAACAGGGTTATTTTATTTTATTTTTAAAAAATATATCTTTATTGATTTCAGAGAGAGGAAGGGAGAGGGAAGGAGAGAGAGAGAGAGAGAAACATCAATGATGAGAGAGTTGTCATTGATTGGCTGCCTCCTGCACACCCCAGACCAGGGATGGAGCCCACAACTTGGGCATGTGCCCCAACGGGAGACTGGGAATCGAACTGCTATCTCCTGGATCCCAGGTTGATGCTCAACCACTGAGCCACGCCTGGCCGGGCCTAAGCAGGATTATTTTAAATACTGAAAACAAGGTAGGTGTTATTATTTCTACTTCACATATAAGGAAATGGAAACCTAAGTATTTTGCCCAAGTTCACACTCAATTGGTAATTAAGTGAAAGACTTTCACATTCCGGCCTTTATGACCCCAAGCCTGCACTGAGTTTCTTTCTCCAATAGACAAAGCACTGTGAAGAACACTACAGGGGAAATCGAAATCACACATGGGCCTGAACCCATGGAGTTTGAAACTGCACTGCAGAAAAAAGCCATTTTACAGTATAACAGCATACAATTATACTATTACCTGCATTCTTCCAGATCTTGTAATTGCTGCATTAGTCTATCCAACTGTTCTTCTAAATTCTGCTTTAATTTGCTTGTCTCTGTCTTTCCTCTGGAAGCCATTTTAATCTCTAAGTAGAACAATAAACCCACATACAGTATATATTTGGTTATTTAATTGATTCAACATACCAGGAAAATTTAAAATAGGCTATACTCTTTCCGAGCTACAGGTGTGGGAAAGATAGTTGTGCAAAGAAAATCTCAATTTATATATGAAAGTTTAAACTCATGTAGTAATAACACTCCACAAAAATGCCTGGCAATCTTGAGTTTATGAATTAATTAGAAGTCTTCACTAGTCTATCTTACTTTAAACAAATCTGACAGATGAAAATACAGATTTATAAAGAAAGAGATTAGGTGTAAATACATATTCATTATAATATTCTTTTTCAATCTTAATAAGTATGTTCCAGGGCTTAGCACACTCCTAGTATTATCTTGCTGGCTCTTATGTGCATTTAAGAGCCAGTTGTTCATGTGGGCATGAACAACTTTTGACATGAATTTCTTCTTTGGAAATGTGCTCATTTTTCTACTGGATTATATTTCCCTTACTGATTTATATAACATGGATATGAAGACTTTGTAATTATGTTGCAAATATTATCTTGTCTCCTGACTTTAAATTCTACTTATAGTGTTTTTGTCACGATAAATTATTATTATTTTTAATGGTCAAATCTGTCTTCTCCTTAAATTTTCTTAGTCTGTGTCCCATGAAAGCACACCCTAACCATCTCAAGACTTTAAAACATATACTATTTTCAATTCTAAAACATATATATACACACACATATATATATATATATGTATATATATAAACGTTTAGCTCTTTAAGCCACTTGCACCTTTTTTTGTTAATGTTGTGAAGTAGGGGTCTTTTATTTTTTTTCAAATGGATAGTCAATTGCCCCAACACTGTTTACTAGTCAGTATTCATTTATGCCACCTTTAATGTACTCAATAGGAAGACTCAAGTCTGTCTCACTGGTAATATTCTGGTCCTGAGGAATTACCTTGCTATTTAATTATTATAGCTTTAGAGCTGGTATATACTGATAACCGATAAGTTGTTTTTATTACTGTGGTTTTCCTTGCCCAATAATTCTTGGCTATTCATGTGCATTTCCTCTTCTAGATGAATTTAAGAATCAGTCAAGTTTCCTTAAAAATTCAATTGAAATTTTGACAGGGATTACATTAAAATTAGAGACTAATATAGAGAAAACCTGTATCCTTGAAATTTGAACCTTCCTATCAAGCAATATCTCTCCATTTATCTAGGCTTTCTTTTGATTTTTAAAAAGGAAATATTATTGTTTTTTACAAAGGCCTTGAACATTAGCTATTCTTAGATATTTTGTATTTTCTGTTAATACTGGGAATAGGGTTTTCCTTATTACAAGTTCTGATTATTTCTGGTGTAGAGAAAAGCTACTGATTTTGGTGTTGATACTATATGTACTTAACATTTATAGCATTTAAGTTTTTCCATTTATAAAAATGAAACTTACATTCCTTTCAGGAAACACATTTTGCTTAATATTAGCTATAAACCATTAATCAAAACTTAAATCCTAGGGTAACTTATTAAAGCGTTTAAAATTTTCCTACACATAATTATTACCAATTTGATATGTGAACTTCAACGAAGAGAATTTCTTACATCATATTCCAAATAGAATTTAATCAGTGAAAATCTATGCTTACTACCTACCATCTCTCTTAAAACTGGCTTAAATCATCTACAATCACTAATAACATATAAATGAGTATAGCCAGAAGTGTAATTTATCATAGCTGTGCCTCATGTATAATTTCTTCTGGAAGTACACATTTAAATTTTATTTTAAATCTGTTGAATTTTCCAGTAAAATTCAAGGCAAACCCAAGAAAAAACTGAAAGTGTCTTTTCAGGATTAATTTCCCACAGTCTAACCACACTGGACTACTTGCTATTTCAGAACACAGCCGTGAACTTTCATCCTTCTCTTGTGAGCCTGCATTTTTTTTCTACCTATCAAGCCCAGGTCATGGAGTCGTCGGGGTCTAACTAAAGTTCCACCTCCTCCATAACCCTTCCTTGGTTACCCCCCATCATTAGATTGTGAGTTATGTAAGTAGGGATCTTACTCTTTTCATACACCAGCATCTAGCACAATGCTGAGCAAATACAAAGTACTGGATAAATAATTGGTAAATGAATAATGAAGAGAGACTGCTTCTTCCACTACATTCCGCATCTCATTCTCTATTTATCACTCATCTCTTCCTTGAATTACATGAGTTCATTATAGCATGTTTTTTGTCTGCCTCTCCAGACTGTAAACGCTCTAGAAGCAGAAAACGAGTCTCACTCCGCTTCGCCTCGATCTTCAATAACTGGACGAAGTGTAACTGCATAAAGGCACAACATCGTTTAAGGATGTAAAGCTATTCTAAACAAATTTCAGGGAAGACGGAGGCACTTTAAAAGCCTTAACCTGGTTCTACATTATTCGAGATTTATCCCAGAGAGAGTAACTCGCTGGCACCACCTAGTATTCAATAACGGTGGTGCATCTTTTACCGAAACCTAAGAAATGGTTCTCAAACACTAATCGGGCGAGGAAACTACTCATTCACGCTCACCTGTCTCGTATTACCCTGAACTCTGCACAGCGCTGACTGGTCTCAAATTGCATAAACCTCCAGTTCTTGAAGTTCCAGTGTCATAAGCGTGAGGAAAGCGAACCTGTTCATCAGGACTGCAAGAGGCTCAAAGTTCAAGCCACCTTGGGGCGGAGCTGGCTGGGAAAAGAAACACCATGAACAAGAAGTTTTTATTCACTATAATCTTGGCCTGAAGCAGTCCAGATCACTTCCACTCGGGCAGCCTGCCATTGAAAAGCACCCCTCTCTTTCTAGCAGGACATCCTGGCGGCTGGGGTGAGTGTGGAGGGCAGCCTTTCTGAGATTTTTTCCTAGTGAGGTGTTACTGAGGAAAACCCCGCACGCGGACACGCCTTGGGGGAAGTTGTCAAATCTAGAAAAGCGCAGAAAAGATACGGGCAGAGAGCACACCTTTTCCCGTTTCCCGGCTGGCAGGGAGGCAGCGCCTGGACCTCAACCATCCCGACGCTTTCCGGGAGCAGCTCCGGCCACGGCCCCAAATCCCATCTCCGCGAGGGAACTTGAAGCTCCCGCACTCGGGTCCCGCGGCGGCCGGGCTCGACTAGGCCCGGGTAGCCACCAGGGGTCGCCGTGAACCCGCCACCCCCGAAACTTTTCTGGCCCTCCCCGACCAGCCTCCGAACAACCTCCTCAGGATTTCGGGGTTCCCTCTCCGTCTCAGTCCACCAGTCCTCAGAGTTCCGAGACAGGGGCCCCGCCTACCTGACAGTCCCGGACCGGCGGGCGCGCGCAGGGGAGCACTTCCGGCAGACGCACGCACTTCCGGCCTCCTGGAACCAATGAGGGTGCGTCTGCGGTGTTCCCCACGGTGGCGTCCGGGCTGCGGCGCGTCTCCCGGAGGACTCGGGCCTCTTTGCACTGAGGGCGTGGTAAGCTCCCCCCGGAGCCCCTGAGAAACCCGAATCTAGGGGAGTCCGCCTAGCACCCCTTTTCTGTCACATGCTTGCGAGAGTCCGAGGCGGTGGGGTCTTTGAGGGTCAAATTCAGCGGTTGGCAAGGCAAGGTCATATCCAAGGGTGGGGCGAGGAGTTCCCCCCTCGTTCTCTCCATCTGTCTCTGGAACCAGAACCCCCGGTGAACGTGCCTCCGGCCTTCGGAACCGGTGAACCCAACCCGAAAACAAAGCAGAAAAGCTCCTCTAGAAGAGGCCTCCTGAGCTTGGCGGAGGCGGTGGGGAGCGGAGCAGGAAGCCCTCCGTCCTGAACTTCTCTTTCCTCCTAAATCTTTCCCAAATCTGTGAAATACTAGGCCCGCCTCCCTGAAAACGGTTTGACGCTCGCGCCCCTTGGGAAGGAGGCTCCGAGCTGCTGGGCAGCACTTGAAAAATGACTCAGAAATCAGGTGGCGACCATTCTCTGGTGTCCCCAGCCCATTTCCTTGAAGCCAGTAGGGTCTCCGGCAAAACAGGCGTTGTCTTGAAAGCGAATTCTTTTTCAGGCGCCCTGAACAGAGACTTCCAGCTGAAATGACCAGAGAACGCTTCCAGAATGAATTACTTCTGTCAGTTCTGTGCGATGGTAGAATTCCTGACTCGTTCCCCTAAGCTGCATCTCAGAGTCACACTGTGGATGTGAAACCACTGTTCGTTCTGGCCCAGCTTAGAAAAGGCTGCTGATGGGGGTGTAAAGGACAGCGTGGGGAAGATAGTCAATCATATTGTAATAAGGGGGTCGTTTCATATGTTATTTAAATGTCTAACCGCTCTGCCGTAGGCCTGAAACTAATACAATGTTGAAATGCCAACTGTATTGGAAAAAATGTGGATTTTTAAAAAAAATAATAATAGGCTGTTGACACACAGGTTGGAGTGGTTCAGTAGGTTACCTTGCAAAACCCCTCCAGATTCACGGAATGCCCTTTGTAAAAGGAAGTGATGGTTATGTTATAGAACTACCTCTAATTTCTGGCACGTGAGCGGATGGGTGGTAGTGTCAAGGTCTTGAGTGATACGGAACTTTCAGTGACAGATAGTCAGGATCAGTGCCATGCAAAACAAAAGTGTCTTTTCTTCTTTTTCACCATTTGAAGAACTTGCTGAATAAGCGTTTGCTCTTGGGCACTTCCCGTAACTTTCATGTGGATAATCCAGTGTTCTCTTCAGGCCTTCGTGTTGGTTTTGGGTGTGTGCAATCTTGAAGAACTTGCTGAATAAGCGTTTGCGCTTGTGCACTTCCCCTGGCTTTCATGTCGATAATCCGGCGTTCTCTGCAGGCCTTCGTGTTGGTTTTGGCGTGTGCAGTCTTGAAGCCGTGGAGGAAAGTCCTTGCCGTGCATGCGTTGCATGTGCCCGCTCTTCTTTCTCTCTGACTTCTCTCATCCAGTGGTTCTGTGCTGAGTGTTCTTATATCCTTCTGGGTTCTTGTTTAGAGTCAATGGAGAATGAAAAAGTGATCCTTGGGCATAAGTAAGAGAAATTGGTTTGGGTTCCAGTCCTCAAAACAAAACTAGAATCCAAGCCCTGGGAGTAGGGGAGAAGAAATTGAAAAAAGAGGAATGATATATTAGGAAGGTAGTCATGGGAGAGAGCATTGGGGAAAATAAACTTCAGAACTGAGAGTCATAACTGGAAAACCAGATATAGACACGTCTCTGAGATATTGTGGTTCAGTTCCAGACCACTGTAATAAAGTGAGTATCCAAATAAAGTGAGTCATAATCTTTTTTCTGGTGGAGGGACTTGCCTTTAATTTGTTTAAAAAAAAAAAAAAAAAGGCAACACCTGTGAAGCACAATAAAATGAGGTATGCCTGTAAATACTACTTGGCAGCTGCAGTTTAGAACTTGGATTTGGACTTGGAATGGGAGCCTAGAGAGTGCAAGTTGCTCCAACAAGGTAGGGAAAATGCTGGGGCTGATGAAACTTGAGTGACTAACAAGAAGTACCGTGAGCCAGAGGCCCTCTGAATACATGGACCTCTTTTAAATGTCTACTAATAGGTAGTTCATAGCATTCTAAGTGTTGGGGTGGAGCTGGCTGGGAAAAGAAAAACCATGAACAAATAGTTTTTATTTACTATATATAATCTTGGCCAGATAACTTCCACTCAAGCAGCCTGCCATTGAACACACTCCTCTCTATTTCTGCCTGCCTGCTAGCTCGCTCTCCCCTCAATGCCCCTCACATTCCACGCCTATAAAGCAGTCATCTGTCTCTTGGTGCCTTCCCTCCATCCCTCCCAGCCTGTTTCCCCTGATAAACTCCTTGTTGACTAGTAGCACAGCACCTGCCCAGTCACGTAGGTCAGAAAGGACCTCTCGCATCCTGTTCCCCTTCCCCTTCAGTCACCTGATATGCTCGCAAACCCTTGGACTATCATCTCCCATGTTATTACCGTCCACTGTCTCTCATCTGGATGGATGGAGTGCTCCAGAGCAGTGCTTTGCAAACTTTAAGATGCATACAGATCACCTGGGATCTTGTCAAGATACAAATTTTGATTCAGTAGGTCTAGAGTAGGGGCGTGTGATTCTGCATTTCTAACTACCTCCCAGGTGATGCCCATGCTATGCTGCTGGGACATTCTACCCCCCCTCCCCCGCCGATACCGTCTCTTTCAGATGACCCCAAACTCCAGTAAATCTCTAGTCTGGACCTCTTCCCCTGAACTTGGCTTTGTTCTTCATTTGTCTGCTTAACATCACCGTTTGGATATCTAATAGATATCCCAGATTGAACTTCTTTATAAACAGAACTACTGATCTTTCCTAAACCAATTCCATGGCCATCTTTGTCTTCTCAGTTAAAGGTAACTCTTCTTTTAGTTGCCCAGGCCAAAAAAACGTGGCATTGACTCCTCTTTCTTTCACAGCTCATGTTCCATATATCAGCAAGTCACATTGGCTCTACCGTTATAATATGCCTAGAATCGAATCACTTCTGCTGCTCCCACCCTGGTCCAAGTCAGCATCAATTCTGACCTGGGGTATTGGAGTAGCTTCCTATCTGGTCTCCTTGTTTCCACCCTTAATTCCCCCATCATTCTGTTCTCAGAGAAATCTTTAAAAATATGTCAGATCATGTCGCTCCTCTGCTCAAAACCCTGCAAGGGCTCCCTATTACCTCTCTGACTACATCTGCTACTGTTCCTTCCCTCTGTTAGCTCTGCCTCACCCGTTCAGGTCTCTGCTCCAGGCATGCTTCTGTCTCAAGGCTTTTGCACTGTTACCTTTGCTTAGAACATTCTTCCTTTAGATACCTGCATGGCTCACTCCCTTGCTTCTTTAAGTCTTTGCTCAAATGGCAGGCCTTTCCTGACCACCCTATCTAGAATTCCAACACTCCTTATCTTCTTGCCCTGCTTGGTTTTTCTCATGGCCCCGTTATTTAATAGACCTCATATATATGTATTAATTTTGATTGTTGTTTATCTCCCAACACTAGGATGTAAGCTCCACATGGATAGGGAATTTTAACAGTTTTGTTTACTCCTTTATACCCAGCATTTACAGCATAGTAATTGCTCAAGAAATATTTACAGAACCATGATGAATGAGTGAGAATTACTTCTAAAGTGCACTGGTTCATTACTCCCTGTTGAAACCCTCCAATACATCCATTTCCTATAGAATAAGATCCAAACTCCCCATATCGCACCTGAGGGAGGGGAGACCCTAAAAACTGTCTTCCAGTAGTTTCACGTTAACTCTTTAAAAAAATAATTCTAATAAAATAGGAAAAGAAAAATAATTTGTGGAATTTTTTACCTTTCCCCAATGAAATGTTTTAACTATAACGTGTCTAATTCGAAATTCCATCATTATGTATATTTTTAATATAAGTAGAGAATATATCGAAGACTAGTGGTATATTGTATACAGCCAAGCTTCCAGATTAAGATGAGCGTTTAGAAATTTAATATTCAATTCAATTAGTAAGTAGAAGTTTTTTACTTCTGGAGTTTAGCAGCCATGAAAAAAGTAGTATGAAGACTAAAATTTTAAATTTCAATCTTAAAAAATTTTAAATAGGAAGCAGCAGATGTCAACCATCAAGTATTTTTTTCTTATAGTAAATTTGATGAGTTTAATGCTTGATGTTTTTAGTTTCTCAAACTTCCCTGGACATTCTCCCAGAAAGCTGCTCGTATGTGCGCACACCCAACAGTTTGCTTATAACTTAAGAGACAGTTATTTCTACTGTGAAGGCCTGTGCCTGTCATAAATGTGTTCCTCCTGCCAGTGGGTACTTTCTTTTTCTTAAGAAATAGAGTTGTCTCCACATCCTAAAGACATTCAGAGCACCTCTGAGTACCTAGGTCCTACTTAAAATACCTCAGAATCTGAGAATATACAGAAAAAGTAAGAACACAAAATATCATGTGGGCGTCTTGGCTATTTTCTAGATAGTAATTGATGACCACAATGCAAAAGATTGTTGTAATCCATATGGAGGAGATTGTGATTATTTCTAATTATTTTTACTCTAAAATTTTCTGCTGCATTTTTTTAAAGAGCATTAAATTGACCTGTTCACATATGCAGTCTGAATCACTGTTCTTTTGAAACCAAACCTTTGTTCATTACTAAGATTTACAGTTTCCTTTTCCTTTTCAATATTTATTTCCATAGCAACCATCCAGTCCATGCTACTAACGTCACTGAAACAATAAAGGAGGTTCAGAAAGTCAAAGTAATGATCTTGAAAGTATTTAACAGGAGATCCTTATTTGGGGTGAATTTGGTTGTGATGCCAGTCCTGTGGTTTTGGTTGCACTCTTCCTTTCTACCCACTGTCCGTGCTGGTTGATGCTTAAAGACAGCGTCCTGCCATGAGTGGTTTTGATGTGCTTCCCGTTGTCCTAGCTCCGAGGTTCAGCTGAGCGTTCCGTCGCCGAGGAGCTGGGTAGGAGATGGTGACGTGCTTGCTGGC